CCTTGATATGTTTCTTCTCTCGCTTCTCCGCAGTGGTAATCAATCGCTCCGATCGCTTAACTGCCTCATCATATGCTTCCCTGGATTTCTCCAACCTCGCGAGCAAATCCACTGTCATCTTCTGCTCGTTCTTGTTAGATTTGCAAAGTCCACCACAGGTCTCCTCCAACTCTACACATCGTCCGGATTCCTTCTCCAGATTCAATTGCAATACTTTGCACTCAATTTACTTCTCTCGAAGCTGGGCTTCTCGCTCCTGCAATGTCACCTTCACTGCCGCGCACTCGGTTGCCAAGTTTGCCGTTCGCTCCCGTGCCAATTCAGTCGCGGAATCCCACTTCCTCTTTACTGCCCTCTTGAGCTGCGTTCTATTTCTTATCATCTCTACATAAAATCCTACCTCCTTGGACACAGCATACTTCTCTCTCTTCCCATCTAGATACTTCAGTAATAGGACCACACTATCCTGCAAGAATTCGGGGAAAGAAACGACTAACTCCTTTGATTCCTCCTACGAAGTCTTCGTCTCTTCTGCGAACCTAACTTCTCTTGTAGGAGAGTATGGCAGTGTACTGTCAGGGGCATCTATCACCGTCCCTCCAACCTGTGCAACAATCTGTTTAAGTACTTCGTCGCTTAATGTTAGCTCTTTTACCAATTTCTCGCTCGTTTTCGGATGTGGTGTTCCTTCACTCCCCGCAATCTGTGTCCGCTCCGAAGATAGAGAATTTGGACTAACTATCTCCATTCCCTTTTTCAAAGGTTCCACTAGTGCTTCTGCTGGAAACTTCGTTTAATACCCCCGAAGATCCTTCCCTGCCTACAGGCTGTGTTGACTCGCCCACTACGACTTTAGGTGTACTCACAATCGGTGCAACTGTCTTTTCTACGCTGCTATCCAATTCTTCTACTGCCACTAACGCTTGATTTGCCCTCATCTTTGATCTTGCGTGAGTTCTTGACTGCCTGATCACATCCACTTCCGTTTCCGTTCTTCTTACTTCAAGTGTCAAATCTCCCTCGTCATCGCTCACTACTCTCCTTCTCTTCGCCACTCGTCTCTCCGGCTTTTCCCGTCTCCGCACAACCTCCACCTGAACTGGTCCTCGGGCTGTCGTCTGTGCTGGAATGGAAGGTTGACGAGTATCGTCCTCAGTCCCTTCGCTGGACTCGGCCATCAAGATTTCCCGCTCCTTCGGAAGTTGCTTCTCCTCCTCTCTCGTAAGCAACCTCATGCCTTGGTAGAAAATCACCAGGAAGGGAGTGAGATGATTGACCAATGATCATGTCCACCGATCGTACACATTCACCCAGACAAGATCATGAAAGATCCTTGCCCAGTGTACTCCTTGTCCCTTCAAGATGCATTCAAAGAACCCTACCTGCCATGCCGTCACATACGTCGTACGCGTTGGTCGCAAGATGTGCATAATTCCCAACGCTATAGCCCTTGTCTTCAGATCTATGTAATCCATTGTCTTCCACCCGTTCGTTCCCTATCTCCCAGAACTGAAGAGTGGTCCGTAAGAGAATTCTTCGGTGCGCGTAAGTCTCACGCTACTCTTTTCAAACAAAAGGTCTCCGTTGCTACCTGCGCACGGTCCCATCACCTTCGTCCAATGCTCAATTGTCCAAAGCATGGGATTACCTCGAAGCTCCACGCCCTTGGTACGGTTTTTATCGATTATCTCCTTACAGATACTCGCCGAGACGCAATTCTAATTCCAAAAGAGGAATTCAAGTTGCAACTCGCTCAGCTCGCATCGGAAGGGTCGCAGTTCTTTGTAGGGCACTTTCATGGAAACCAATTTCCGCACCTTGTCACTCTTCTTCGGCCCCATGACTTCAATTTGCGTCTTCGTTACTAGCAAGGTCGGTCGATTTCGCTCTTTCTCTCGCTCGCTCGTTCTTGCTCGATCTTGCAATGTCGGCGCGATGACTCCTCGTACTGCCCTTACCCTTGAAGCCCTAACATTGACTCCTCATGCGCCCACTAGAATTCTCGACACGTGCGATCGTCTCCCGATCCGTTGCGAGATTCAAAATTGAATCCTATGTCTTCGTCAAAGACGTAGCTCTTGCAATGCCCAAAAAGGCGGCATTGAAGATTCAAAGATTCGACGATCTTCTAACGTAGACGATTTCTAACTAATCATGTCATATCTCCTCATAAGCCGCTCATTCTAACTCGTACGACTACTTTCTAGACAAATATCTTTTAGTTTTGTTGATTTGTAGAGAAAAACTAAGTACCACATATATCACTGATCAACTCAAAGTTAGCACAAGATATATAAATCGAGTAACATATAGAGTCACTTGCCTTTCTAAGCATCAACCTTACACTTCTCATACTTTTTGAAGTATGATATTTATCTTGCTATGCAAAGAGTACTTCTATTTTGTTCTCTTAGAAATATATAGATGCAAATTTATCTTTGTTTGTGAGTGATTGTACAAAATACAATTATATTTTTTGAAAAGTTGTTTCAATTACTCATTGTATACATCAAATTTTGTAGCTTAATTAAAAGAATATATTTTTATTGCTCTACATGAATTACTTGCCATAATTGCATAGAAGCAATACAATCATCTTATGTGATATAACATGAGATGCTCATGTTGTCTGTATATTAATTGATATTGACAAGTTGATGATGGTGTTGTATATATGATTCATCACAATGCTATTAAATATGTACTCTATTATCTTATAATTTTGGTAGATGTTTGGTTTGATGAGATGATTCCATTCTATATTATACCATTATGGAAACATATATAAGTAGGAATTGAAGTTGAGTCTCAGTTCATAAGATTTGCAAGTTTAACTTTGTTAAAGAAGAAAACTATTTGATACTCTATAAATATCATAGGTTGTAACTAGAGCCTAGTAGAGCTTGGTAAACTAGTTTCCACCAAAATTTAGATAACATTGTAAATACTACAATTCAATTCAGGTTTCCAAGGTTTAACTTTTTTGGTATTGATATTTAGTTGAAATTATGGAGATTGTTGGAGAAGATCTGAAGCATTTTGAACTTTTTTCAAAGGTGGTGCTGACTACGTTCATACGAACAGTTGCTCTATTCACCGCACTCAATACAATTGTCAAGTTTAAGCTCTGAGTAGCATACGGTGAAGAATTCTTTACTTTGCTGCCATAAGATGTTTCCTAATAACGTCAAGAGGGATTACTAGAGTTAGTATATCTATAAGGAAAATAATCTTGATAATAATCACAAGAAGCATGGTAGCTCTTAAACTTGTGATTTTGATGTTTCAAGTGTACCATGTAAGAGCGTGGTAGTCACAATCCTTGTTGAATTGTTGGAATGAATCAAATTTTCTCTTATTTGTACAATACTACTACTATTTGTCTTGATCTTGGCAATTGCAATCGCGACGAAAATCTTTCCGATGATACTTGGTGTAAGAACTGTGCTGGATGATGGCAATAAGAGACTCGGATGACACGATGATTCGATCAGATCTGATGTCACTGAACATTTTTTGATCAATGAGGAAAAAAATGTGTAAGTGTGTAAGGATTATGAATGATACAATTGTCAATGAAAAAGGCAAATATTCATCAACTCGTAGTCAAACTCATCAAAATAAGATATATATATTAAATCTTTGACTATATCATTGTAGTTAGACAGTTGATTAGTGAAGTTTCTCATGACAAGCATCTGAGACTCTATAAACTAACACTCTTATTGAGAGGTTGGACAGTAAAAGTTACGACGCAAAAGTTGAAGTTGATCCTCACTCGCTGAGCAAACAACGTCTCCAACTCTTTCCACATCATGTGAGAGTCAGACAATATGATGAACAATTTGATCACAAACATTCATCATCATCACGTTGTTCCAGAATGATTTCAATTTTCTCATGAACTTTTTCAATTTTCTCATGAACTTTTTCATTAACAATCTTTCATTCTTGTTCGAGAATGATTTCAATTTTCTCATGAACTTTTTCATTAACAACCTCTCATTCTTGTTTGGTTGTAATTGCATCTTTACATGGGCTATCAGTCCGGAACCTCAAGTGCAAATAGAAAGCAATGTTTAGTTCTACTGCAACATAACATTTCTTCTTGCATAAGATACTCGCATACGCACAACCCAAACAATGTAGTTGTCGATGCAATCCAACTTCAGTGCTCAGTTGATTTTCTTCGCTTCCCTAGAGAAATCCACGGTTCGGAACGAAAGACAGAAAAAAAAATTCAATATTGAGTTCACCAACTCAAGGCGTTTGCAATCTTAAATGGAGAACAAGGAAATTCAATATTGAGTTCACCAACTCAAGGCATTCGTAATCTTAAGTGGAGAACAAGAAAATTCAATATTGAGTTCACCAAGTTAAGGCATTCGCAATCTTAAGTGGAGAATCAAGGAAATCGCTTAAGCCCATGATACCAATGTTGGAAAAGCTAGTTCGAAATCAATCTAACAGTGAGTAAAAATGCTTGTACATATAGTGTAGCCCACATGGTAGTCTAATGGATGGCTGATAAGCTCCGTCCACTCCTTTGGACACTTATACAGTCGTCAAGTCTTCCCTAATATTTGCATTCTAAGATTATCTTTAAGATCTAACTTATTGTAACATGCTTTTCTATCCTTTGGACACTTATACAGTCGTCAAGTCTTCTCTAATATTTGCACTCTAAGATTATCTTTAAGATCTAACTTATTGTAACATGCTTTTCTATCCGTCTAGTGTTTCATCAACTTCCCCGAGGAATTATTAAAGATAGCTTTACCTTATGAAATAATGCAACGACCTGTTCAATCCGGCTCAATCCGATGAGAATCTTGAATAGATGGGACGTGTCATGTGAGTAAAGACACGAAAGAGCACACCTTTACCGAACCTCTCTCAGTGAACTATCTTGAACTATAATACCCATCCACTGCATGAGGTCATCGGACCAGCCGTGACCACTTCCCATAACAGAATCATAACAGAAAGAAATCTCGTCTCGTTAATGCAACATTACTGGCAAACAGCTTAGTTCAGCATCTCTTATCATACAAAGGGCCCGAACAAAAAAGGGGGCCAAGTAGATGACAAAAAAAGGATGGGAAGACCCCAAACCATGAGCTATATGTAAAGTGTGAGCTACAAAGCGAACTGGGACACCAAGTGCTATAGGAAAAAGGGTGCGAAGACCTAAGAGCCGCAAGGCTAAGGCGATAGTTAATATCTAGGAAGGCCAGTTCACATTCTTCACATCTCCACTATTTTTTCCCTTAACGCTGATTGTGGAAGTTGGCTTTTTCAAAATAGCCCGGTTCTGTTTCGAAGGACAAAAAAGCTTGATGCTTGGTATCTATGTTCAAGAGGTCTATCGTACAAAACTTTTCTTCGTTTAGTCTTCGAACGGCAGACTCCCGCTCCCCGTAACGCTCCGAACGTTAAGATTTTCCTTGGCTGGACCCTGTGGATCTATTTCGATAATATAACTACATGTACACCTTGTGCAAAACAAGGAGAATACCACCCATGGTATTTTCAAAACGGGAAGTAGAGGGACAACGCTTCTCCAAGTGCTGCACCGAATGAAGATGATTTCCCGACCAGACGCTGGATGTATCGCCTTCACAGTAGAATTTTTGATGAGGTGACCTCGTCAAACTTATCACTCAAAATGTTTCCAACTGCAAAAGACGTATCTCGTCAGTAGGACGTGTGAAAAAAATACAAGATAACGGAAAAAGAGTTTACTGAAAAATAAACTTTAAAAATAAAGTTTTTTAAACAAATTTTAAAATTTCATTTTAAAAAATAAACAAAAACTGAGCCACAATGATTAAGGACAAAATGAAGTAGAGAGTGATGGACGCGCTATATGCATTGAGGTTACTGCTCTATAAGTGAACAAATTATGAACATATGAAAGCTAAGGAGGTATATGTAAGGTAAGAATTGTGTGCGAAAAGAAGATGGTCAAAAAATTAAAAGCAGAATCCGACTTGGGTTACGAAATGCACTATAGGGAGAAGATTGATCTTTAATTTTCTGTCACAATGAGCTATGACAAGAAAGCACATACCAGACAAAAAACACTTCTACTGTAGCTTTCTGCAGGATTTGGATTTAAACGAGGTCTCATAACTTTCGTGAAACAACTTGATCGACACGAGTAACTTCAACCTTCCCCGCGAGAAGGCAGAACAGTGCATATAAACCTCAGTCCGTTACTTTCTGGACCTCCGGAGTACGAGTAAAACACGTGATTCGCAACGGTGAATTCGGATAATTCACCGTTGCCATCTGGGCGAAGGATGGGCTTTGACTCTCATGGATCTTCATCTGTTTCTCACCTTCAACCTTTGAATCTTAGCCATTTTCAGAATCCGATCTAGTTCCCATACACAATACACAGCAGCTACTCGGCAGACAAAATTCTGGTATACTCATTACATCCATGCATCGCCCACAATTAACGCTCATCTTATAACCAGACCGCTAAGCTAAGCTAAGCACATAATTCATGATTTGTAAATGAGAGGAGTAAGAAGATAAAGAGGTGCATTATAGCTTTGTTGTAGATAGAACATGGATATTGAGATGCGGGACTTGATAACACACAAGAACGCAAATGGTTTACAGCTTGGGTTGCAAAACACTTTGGAACGACCAAATGAACGTACCTTAACTTCCTTCAGAACTGGTTGTGTGTGTAACGCCCTCTCTTCAACGGGAGCAATTATGGGCGGCAGTTCATCTTGCTCACTATTCCCACTATTATCATTATGTGGATATTTGGGCAACCTAACCTCCGGAAATTGACTAAAGTAGGCCCGTACTGCAACCAGCAATATAAATGCTGAACCCATCAAACGTACACAAACAGTCAGGGGGATCGCACTAGTTAAAATCTTGAAAAAATCGTTCAAGAATAAATTTTCCACTCAAAAAACTTCAGCATTCAAGATGACTCCATCAATCTGCGCGAAATAGACTTCTCACCACCAAAGAGACGAGTTGATGCAGCAGTAAAATTCCATGCGAAAAGGAACGCTCCTAGCATAGCTGCCTTCTTATGAGCGTATTCATCCCAAGCTATCCAAACACGCTCGGCAACTGCCTCAGCTACGGTCCTCACAGTAAACAATTCATGCACGAAAAAAGTCAGAACTCTGGCCCCCACCTCCAACTGCATGGATGAATTTGAGTACAAGTACTTCGTGAATGAGCTCCATAATGACATGTAAGACACCTTGATTGCGTGTCATAAGATTGAACGTACCATGTCCCTGCAGCTGATGCGAGTAGTAAGAGAAGAGCTTCGGGACGATGAACATGGCAACAAAAGCTGCAGCGGTTCATTATGTGAAATTCGGTTAGATTGCAGGGTATTAAGTTGGAAACATTTCAGGAACAGACTTGAAACTTTTGAGCTTTTAGATACACATGTTTGTTTTCGGTGATGTCTCACGTGGTCTCCACATAAAGACTTGATAAGGTTTTGGAGTATACCCAACCGGGCGAAACTCCAAAGTGAAATCCAGTAACCAAGTTGAGCTAGCACCCACAGCATTGCTGCAACCTGAGATAAGCAACTGAATTAGAAAGACGTGTACACGTGTTTGGATGCACAGCTGAACCTTCGAAGAAAATAAGGAAAAAAAAATAGTCTCTCTTTTTGCTGAGATTTGTTTTAACTCAGAAAGAGTTACCAATGAAAGAAATCAAATTAAGCTGGCTCGGGAGCTAGCTTCATAAGACGCACCTTTAAAGTTGTAAAAGGGTCCCCACAGAAGAGCTGTCCGCACTTGCAGATGACCAAGTTCAGAGCGGGTAAAACAACTCTTACGAAATCTAAAGCCTCTGTATCACTCAGCTCCCAGTTGACACCATTTCCTACTTGTCCACTTAAGAATTCAAGAAAAACAACTACGAGATGTTAATTGGAGATTTAATCATGTCAAAGTCATGACAAGAGTAAGCTTGCGTTGATGAAGAACAAAATGATCACAATCAACATTTAGCTCATGAGCTGAGATGAGAAGTAGCTGTACCCGCCTAAGAAGCTCCGATGACAATATATTCCGGCTAGATACAATAGTGCCAGGTAGGAAGTGAAAGTCAGTGCTCTGCAACAACAACCAGTAAATTAGTATCTGTTAACGAATGTAAACGAAAGATATACAGTTGATTCAGATTGCTATTGCACGCACGCACTATAGAACGAAGCCTGTGGCCAGATTCAGCCCATTGGTGAAAGACCCACCCAAAACTTGGGTTCTTCACGTAAGATGTTGATAGGATACCAAAACAGCCGGCTCCAAAATATAACGTCGACCTAGGAATATCTTTCCACATTATGACATCTCCTGCATCGCAATGATATTTAGTTCGAATGAGGTCTTTTGAAGCTGACAGATCTGCACGTTCTGAAAAACTTGACGAAATTCAACGCTTGATCAACGTACCAAATAACTGCATCCAAGAGATAGATGTAGAATTCGAAGAGGTCGAGGCTGATAAAGATAACAGCTGTGTTAGACACAAATCCTTGGTTTGACATTGTACATCTCACCTGACAAACAACAGCAGCAGGCAGGAAATTTCTAGGCCCACATGTTTCAATTATGAAATATGTAGGAAATCTAACTGCTGGTTCAAACATGAACAGATTCCGGGCGGGAAAGAGATTAGTTGGTTCGCAGTGGAACGCAGAAGCACCAATATCCATTGTTTGTTACAGGTAGGGAGATGGCCACCTAAACCAGAGGAAATAAGATCGAACCTAAACCAGTGAATAAAAACGAAGAAGCCGAACATGTAATAGTCTTTGATACTACAGACTCGGCGGTTCAATTTCAAACAGCAGAAGAGTTGGCTACGCGGGCAGTGGATAAGACGAAAAAGTCAAAAGTGAGAAAGAAAAAGATGGAAATCCATGAACAGAAAGACAAAATCTTATGGGGCGGAAAAAGTAGCCCTTACGAAAATGACTCTCAAAGTACTCAATGCCATATTGGTTGCGTAGTAACTTTCTGAGATACTGTCTCTTGCCGGTCGCTGGCGTGATATGCGTGAAGTTAATTGTGTTACCATGCGATTCCAAGCATTAGCACATGCTGCTGGGAGTGAAGCAGCTGGTTCAAAGGAGTCCATTATACCAGTACTCACATGAATTCTTAGTCCTAGTTTCCAGACCACGGCGCATATGTTATACATTGTAACTCTTTCCTTAGCATGAAGAACCTGTATAGGACAATTAAGATATTACCCAAATTTCATAAAGCATTCGACGTACAACGGGATCATGAACGAGACCAGACAAACATTTTTGGATCGCTACGCTAGAGTGTTATGTTGGCACACGTCCATTTTGTGAAAGTTGCACGTCGTACCAAGCACTTTCGGCGCTCTCGAAGATGATTGCCGCATTTCTCTGACTCGGGCCGGAGGTGGATTTTCTGCCAAGCCCAACTCAGGAGCCTCCTCGGAATAAGGGTCAGTGGCTTCATCAGGTTTTCTCTTAGTGTGTCGACGAGTTGTCTTGGGGCGACGTCCTATTGTCTTAGCTTGGTTCTCCTCCTGCAATTCGGCTTCACTTCCCAACATCTTGAGAGTACCGGATGGAGGTTCCCGTATTTCGCTGCTAACATCTTGACCATCTGCTCTGCTGATCTGTCGGATGCTTTTGGAGACACGAGTGCGAGAAGACTTCTCCATCGTGACCCTTTGATCAAGCACATTGTCCTGCAGATCTTCCTCTTCTGTTCGAGTGTGCTTCGAATTATCGGTACGATTACGAGTGACCCTCGTGTCACGAATCCTGCTTTGACTCCGCGATGTTGGCTCCAAAGCCTGATCCAAAGCCTGATCCAAAAGGGGTTCTTGTGATCCAATTTTTAGCCTGCGAGTCGGACTTTTCACCAGTTTCGAACGAGATGATCTCGCAAACCCGGTCGATTGATCTTGCAACTCAGAAAGTTCCACAATTCGTGTTGGCCTCGGACTCTTTCCTCGAGTATCAGCCATATCCCGGTCCGTCAAGTCTGCAATCCCACCTCGAAAACTGACTGATTTCAGGCTAATGCCGGTGCCGGCACCACAAGTTTCCTGCCGTCCGAATTTCGCATCCGGGGCAACCCCCACTCCCTCCATCTCCATCGCAGAAATGTGGCTCGAGCCTGCACTATAGCTACGGGTGGGACCCTTCCGAGATGTTTTCACACCTGCATTTCCACCTGACTCCGCTCCAGGTGATCCGTCCGCTGCTGCTCTATGAGACCTCCGCTGTGGAGACGACAATGCCTCCACACGGCCAGCAACAGTTCCCCATTTGACAACTTCTTTACCACTGCTACTTCGCAAGCTCCCCGGTGTGTCCTCCACTTCAGGCTCGGCCCACCGCGTCCCACGCAGCGCGAGCCGAGACGAGCTCTTCTCGGCTGGGACTCCTCCGAACCCTCCACTGGGCGCAGGCGATCCTTCTCGCCCAGAACCCATCCGCGCAATTGGAATGTCGTCGACCCAATTCCGCCGCCGCCGGTCGCAACCGAATCACCACCTGCGCAACTCTAACAGCCTCCTGGAGCGTCCTCCGTCGTCTCACAGCAGAAGACGATCGGAACCACGCCCCCCGTCATCGACCTATCTCCTGTCGAAGCTGCCAGCGATCTTGTCAAAGCACCCATCGACAGATCAGAAGCCACAATCTCGAACGAGAGCATGCTCCGAATGGCGCGAGCCATGACACCCTCCCGGCCTTCTCTCGTCCCGGTCCGCTCCCCAATGTCAGATCCTCCTGGGCTCCGGCTCTTGTACGCAGAGGCTTCGGAGTCTTCGTACTTCTCCGTGCTGTCGACGCTTCGGTACATTCGTACTCGTTTCGGAGCAGTTCGTTTGACGAGCTCTGCTCCACCTTCTCCACGCCAGAGCCGTTGGCCCCCATTCAAATTTGAATCACCCTAAATTCCCTCTCAATCTCGGCATCAAACCCGAATACCAGCGTTCGGAATGTCTATATATATCACATGTAGATTTCAAATTTCGTCGTAGTTTCGTTCGCAAAGCGACACGAGTGTACAACCTCGTTCGTATGAACTTGGACTTCACCGTGTCTATATTCACTTGGTTGAAACTTGCGAATGTGTATGTGAATGTATCAACTTTGTTATGCACATTTGTTTATTTTTCCATTCTTGTCATGAATAAACTTAAGTTGGAGATCTGAAAGTAAGACCTGCCAACTTTGTGCCAACATCACTTTGACCTCAAACAAATGGGAAAAAAATCGAAATTTATATCCTCAAATCCTAGCGCGATTTTGAGCATTTGCGCGATGAATTAGATCCTATTGTTAATTTATTACGGTTTTTGAAGTAAATTCTCATATAATAAGATTTGTATCAACATAATGTAGTCAATAAATCTATGTCACTTCATGCGAAATGACATGGTTTTATCTACTATGTTTGAACCATCGTACGTAAATTGAATTACTTAGAATATCCAGACATAGTACGACATTCAATAAACAAAATTGTATCAAAAGTGTCTAGATTACCTCAACACTCAAATCCGCCAACTTTCTCAACGTAGCTATCTCCCAACAGTAGTTATCATTGCTATGCAAGGCTTTGAGCTACATTCAACTTCAAACTATCAACACAAATAACATCATAACAAATTTTTAACATCAAAGTTATAACACACATTTTCATCTTCCAACATTTATTTTGAATTACAAAATGGTTGGTTGGATACTCAATCTTGATTGATAACCTTCATTATCTCATCATGACTACGGTGTGTCCATCATTCAAGAATACAATATTATAACATTTTCTTCATATTTTATTCATAACAGTCTTGTTGTGAATGAAATCTGATCCTCCCAAAAAATGTGATCATATTCACTAAGAAAAACTCTTCACTTAGTCATTCAAAAGATTAAATTTTTGACACATTTTTTAAATTCTATATGGTTAATTTCTAAATTATTCAATTGACGTTACGGTATCATGAAAAATTTGATACAAGAATCATATATTATATATTAATGAATAAGGTTTTTACTTCATACATTCAACATAATATGAATTAAAGCGTTTTTTACCAAATTTCCTCATGTATTCTTACTTCTTCCTTTGTGTAATTTCAGACAAATCAGAATTTATAATTTATTAAGTTTTACATTTTAAAACAAAAATTTATCTATTTTAAAATAATAATTGTTGCTATTCCAATTGGAATAACAACAATATATATATATATATATATATATAAAAGTAAATCTGTACAGTAAAAATATGTGAAGTATATCTAATATTGCAAATTATTAATACTATCACAAGTGAATGCCATATTTAGATTAGATATATTATCAATGACACTTCAAGTATATGTGTGATTGATTTCAAGTATATTGAGAAATTTTTTATAATAATTTATTCATATATGTGCTACAATTTTATTATAAATTTGGAAATATTTAATAAACGCTAATTTTTAAATATTTCTAATATTATTCTTATGAGTTAGCTCAAATACCGATGAAATGCAGTTAGTATAATTATGAGAAGTTAGAAAAATTAGCCTTAAATATATCATAAAAGCTATTGTGTCACAGACTTAGAATTTGGATGAGACATCATTGTAAATTAATATTCGTAATTTCTTTGAGGTGAACCACATTTTCTTTGCTTATTTTTGTGAAAATGAAACTTTCTTTGCCATAAAACATTAATTGATATGATCATAAACATATTCTTCTTTGATGCATGTTAACAAAAATTGAACAAAAGAGATTGAAAAGTTATACGTAGATATTTTCTCTTGATCTTCTTTTACAATTGCTCAGTAACATAATAAATCATCAATTTATAAAGAGTACGACTAGGGCCACACCCGTTTTTGCTACGGCCACACCCGCACTTTCAAAAGCGGGCCAGGCCGTAGCAAAAACGGGTGTGGCCCTAGTCGTCCCCAAAGCCGGATGGGTGGACGATGACGTCACCCCTTGTAGTAGGAGGAGGACTTGAATACGGGTCGCCGAGCTCTTATCCGAAGAAAGATTTCTAGGCCAATTTCGCATTCCTATGACCCTCTCGGTGTTCCATCTTCGTTTCCTAACACTAATGCCCACTTACAAGCATGAGCATGGTAATTAGCGGGCGGGTGTGGCAACAACATAATAAATCATCAATTTATAAAGGGGACGACTAGGGCCACACACGTTTTTGCTACGGCCACACCCGCCCGTTCAAAACCGGGCCTGGCCGTAGCAAAAACGAGTGTAGCCCTAGTCGTCCCCATTTATAAAACTCATTAGTTCTTTTTGATTGCTCCATACCTTCCTAACCCAATACATATCTCCGTTTATAATGAATCATCCATTCGAAGTATTGTACTCTCGCCTTGTTCAATCGACACCTCTTGCAGCTTTTTGTGTATTGATTGATCTTCATAATGGACAGGCACAATAAGAGTAAAACTTCTCCATATACTTATTCCGATTGTTCCATGTGCTTTGACGAGCTAAATCAATCCACAAACAGATCTCATCAGCAAAGCTCTACACCTGTTCATGGATGGGCGCGGATTTATTAAACTCCCGAACACTATCGATTGCTTGGTTCGCTCTATATTTGGCTTAGATCTACATTGCAGATCGTTCTGATGGATTCGGTCGTATCTCAAAGGCTAATATTTACATACGGATTCGTGACGATATGTAAACTTGAACAACTGGTATTTTATTCAAGAAATATTATTTATCCATTCACATGAAGAATATTTATATTTTTTTTAGTATATTCAATGATGATTTATATCATAAGGATTGTCAAACCTTTGAGATACAAAGCATTCATCTTCATTTTTTAGGCTAAAATCAATACGTCACACTATATTGATTGATTCAAACATTGTCAAAATGTAATCAACGTTTCTATATCAGTCAATACATGAAAATTAGTAATACTAAGATTGGTTTTTGTTTCCACAAAAAAATAATTGGTTCGTTTAGTTCAAAAAAAATCCAAGCTTCAAATAATCACTTAATAACTATTACAAATTCATCTAACTTAATGACCCTATACAACAAGGTCGATCAAAGAGTTGCATGATCATGTTTGCATCATTATTCATCAAAATAATATTAATATAAGAGCATGTTACAATCACACAATATGCAGATTGACTTACATTTCTTTGCATCTTCTTTAAAAACTTTTATCTTTTGATGAATGTAATCAAATCCTTGTCCAATGACGCATTCTTGCTTACTTGAACAAAATAATTTTATCATGGTTTGAATAATTTTTAATCCATCCAGATCTCAATTGATAATACTACATATTGCTTCTAAGCACAATTAATTGCAATGTTTTCATTCATTATTGTTTGGTGATTTTGAATGTTGTCATGACTTTTTGCTTCTAAATTTTGATAAATGGCCTTTTTTGTTTATTTGTAACTTGGTAGTGTTATTTCTGTAGTTTTTGCTAGTAGAGGTAAATTTTGATATTATTTGTTACTTCTTTATTTGATTTGATGTCTTTTGATTCCTACATACAACACCAATTGAGTTCATGTATTGCCATCAAAAAAAAATGTGAATGTGTTTTATCAATTATCATAAATTGTGTTTTATAATGTTTTGGTTTACTTGAATAAACGTAGAGAATGTAAAAAACAAATCACAATATTAATTTGCTAACATCTTTTGAGCAATCATCAAATTTTTGGAAATTCATATTCATACTGATTTTCACAATAAGATGTGAAATATTAATTTCTGCAAGAGATTAAATGTCTTTTATCTTGTTAACAAAATTTATTTGTTATTACAACATCATATAATCTATTGATTTGCCAAATGTTGCTTCTTAAGTTTTTATTAATATTATGTCTTGTAGAGCCTATTCAATACCTCATAAGATTTTTGACTAGTATTGTGAGTATTTAATAATTTGACATAGTTAAAAGTTTCAATGGATTAAATATAATATATATAACAAAAATTTAGTCAAACAATCACAAAGATGATACAATATGTATATGATAAAGAAATGTATGAAATTGTTCTTTTGAACAGTATTCAACTTTAGTTATACATGCACATACATAATTTATCATCCTTTTTTTTAACTATCACAATACAAAAAATATAATTAATTTGTCTAATTCACATACAAAACTTGTCAATATTTTATTTTTATTTTTCAATATACTCCTCCTGAATATGTTTTCAAAATATAGAAACATATCTTGTCTTTTTTATAACATTCAGGTCAAACTTGACAATAAAACAATATTTAGAAATAAATTGTATGCTTAATATTCATCTTGTTAAAAAAATTCATGACACTTGTATTAAAAAATAACTTCATTGGGGCAACAATTTGAACATCCAAGATGTTATCAATAGATATATATTTATTACTACACATATATATAGGTTGATGTTAATTTTTAAAAATTGAATTTTCATGTAAATAAGTCAAAATCTATTGTGCACCATCTTCATAATTTTTTTTAAAGCACTTTGAATCTCATAGTGAAGATTCACAATGTCATACATTATTTTCATCTTTATTTTCATATTATACTACGTTTGTCACTATTATTTTTTTTGCTTCTTATATTATCATATATTTTTCAACTTCCAAAGTAGATGAAACTACACACTTCTACCATATGTATTTTAAAATTATTTAAATACATATATAGTAATTCAATTGAACTCTACCAAATTTCGCTTTTATTTAACATCAACATAAGAACTATGCCCAATACACAAGATTAAAGTC